CCGGCGCATCCTTACGCCACCGGCCCCACCGGCGGTGTCCTCGGTCGACCCGTCACATCTCGGCCAGAAGACCCAGCGCTGACATCTCGGAGACCCACTTGTCGCACACGGTCCTCCATGGCCTCGAGACGGGACCGCCGCAGCGCGGGGGCGAACGGACGACGCCGAGGTCGCCAGTTGAGTGTGGCCAGTTCAGTAAGGCTTATTACAACCCAAACATACCCAAACACTCTAGCATGCCGATCAGGTGGGGTGGTTGCAAACGGGGCTCAATATGGGTCAATGTATATAGGCAATTATAGGCATATTGTACATACATATGTAGCCTGGGTAAGAGTCTTTGGTAGGTCTCAATGTCTCAATCACTCTAAACTTAGCAACAATGGGTGAACCATTCACAGGAACCTCTTCCTAAAAGCTTGTCTGACAGTTACAGGGAATCGATACAAAGAATACATACTTGGACCTCCAAATACTTGTGAAAAATTGGGAAAAACAACACAGGTACACCGTGGTATACCTATCCAAAACACTCCATGGGACTAAAAATCTATGTTGCCCCAGAAAAACCTTCATGGTTAGAGTACTTGAGACAGGACCTTGAAGCGTCCTCGCTTCCCAGGTCTCACATGCGGTGATGAAAAGTGCTGCAAAGGAGTGACTGCGGTCTCAGGCCCTCAATTTGGGGCAATCTGAAATCTCTAATCCTCAATCTTCACACGGAAATTATGCATTTGCCCTCTGCAGCAAGCGTTACATGATGTTGCATGTATATAGTATAATTACTGTATACGGCTTTCTTTTGCGATTGTATGGACAAACTTCCAATTATTGCTGTTCAATGGTCACCTTCATCTTCCACTCCATCTTCTTTCGATTTACCCACCCAGATTTCTCACGGGTTTCCATTGCATCTACACTCAGAAGGTAACATTCAATACGCAGCAGCTGCTGGGGAAACTCCATTGCCATGGATCATCCAGCACGGAGTTTCCGCAGAATGTTCTGCCTTTGACATAGATCAGCCCTACACTTGAGACCTAACAAGTCTGGTACGATTTGGTTGGTACCAACTTATGTTTGAAATGGTTTGTGCCAAATTGCTGGATCTCAGCCCTACAGTTTTCACAGGATCTTCTTTCTGAACATGGTCTGACCGTGATTGGAGCAGCCGTTCTAGCCCGCCGTTCCAGCCAGCCGTTCCAGCCGTTCCAGCCGCCAGTGCATGTGGTGAGTCCAAGCAAGCGCACAACCGCCGACACTTTTACGGTTGACGTCTTTTGTGTTTAGAATCCAAGATATTCCACTCCAAACTTTTAAGCTGAGCCCTCTGACTAGAAGTTCAGCTTGCAATACTGAAAGAAGTGACTCAAGGATTGAGGCACCAGCCTGAAAATTTCAGAAAGCTCAAAGAACAAATTGGCTTCGTCTTTGAACTACTGTTCGCTCCTAATTTGCCTCCGGGAGAGTGTTGGCAGCATGTCAAAAGTGCGCCCCCCCCTAAAGCTTAACCGATTGCCACACAGCTCCCAATTGTTTGGTTCTACATCGCGACTCCGCAAGCCTCTTCACTGGACAAATGCACCTCAATAAAGCGCTTTCCCAGCTTTTGCCTGCACCAGAAGTGCCCGAGTCCGGCTGGAAGCTTTATGACTTGGAGAGAGTCTTTCTTGGTTGAGGCATGTCCGCGGACAACATCCACAAAGCCTGAGGAAATAGAGCAGCTTCTTTCTTCGACCGAATGTGTGATCATCGTGTTCAAGAACCTAGGCAAAAGCAAACTGGACACGAGGCACTCTTTATCGCTTTAGTTTCTTTCGACGGAACTGTGTCTCAAAAGCCGCACAAAGATCACAAAGGCTCTTTTGGCTGGTGAAGGGTTATCAATTGATCCATGAAACAATTCAACTCTGAGCAGTCCCCATCTATGCAAAAACAGTTGGGTCTCGTCTCATTTTGGGGCACAGCACTTCAATATTTCACGATAAAGCCCTAATCCGCACCCAGTTTGTTTGGCTTAGAGCGGCGGAGTATTCATTCTTGTACGTTCTATAGATCATCTTGTGCAAATTTTATAGTAAAGGATCTGAAGATTAAACCTGAAGTCGTGAAACGGTGATATGAGTATAGGTCATAACATCTTGTTCTCCGACCAAATTATTTATTGATTGATTGCCAGTTGTAGAGAGTGGAGAAAGTAGGTAAATCTCCTGTGGACTTCCACTTGTTCCGCTCTACTTTGACTGGCCACTGGCCATGCATACTTGCAATGATCATAAGTGTGTGGAGTCTCAGTTCGGACAATGGGGACGACGTCACGACGGACCTGGACCGTTTTTTTCTTGAACATTTGGGTCACATCAAGCATCTCATTTTCTAAGTACGAAACATCTGTCTATGCCCACACACCACCCAAACTGGATAGCTAATTACAAGCACAGCTACCAGGCGTGGGGCACGCACTAAGGAAAAAGCAGTCCAGGTTTGCCTTTCTGGGTCTGCTATGTTGAGAGGAATCTCGGACTCCCAATACCGGTCAGCTGACCGCACGGTCCTAACCCCGCCTGTGAAGCAAAAGGGCTCCGAAGGTGTCCTGGGCGCGGAGAATGATCCCTGAAGTCAAACTGGAAGAGAACATCCACACAACATCCTCACCCTTTTTGGACCATCGAGTTTATTCCTGAAATCATGACACGCTGTTTTGGGCCCGCTCATTACAAAAGCACCCCACATACCTCGCATCCGGTCTCAGTGGAACAACGTCGCTCAAAGGGGGCTTTTTAATGGTCCTGTCTTGGAACAGCTCGACCCGCTTCATCTCCGACTCCCACGATTCCAAACACGAGAGGCTATATAGATATACTAGAGAGGCTAGAATATGGCTAAGATCCTCGGCTAGATTGGACTAGATGGGTCGTTCAACCTGGAGCCAAGCCCGATTGTGCTCTACCACGGAGCAAACTTGTGGTCTTCCAGGTCGGTCGTGGAGCCCTTGCTCCACCGAATCCGAACTTTCGTTCGCCGTGCAGTACTTTCACGCTGTGCATGTCAGGGGAAACAGTCCCCAAACTGAGCCGGACCGGGGATCGGGCTCGGCTGTCCATGATCCGTCCCGTCTACTGAAGACGTTCTAGAAGGTCGGGGGGTGCAGATTTGATTTCCAGAGTTGACTCCACTCATGTCATTTTTGGC